TAAGCTTTTTTTTCCCCCATCATTAGAACCTCACAGATTATCAGGGCACTGAGAGACAGGCAGGCTTTTATTCTCTCTCTCTCTCTCACATTGTGGTTTTGTCAGTGGTGATAGAACTATAGGATTCTCTACTATGGAAAGTTCAAATTCCCACCTGATACCCAGATGGTGGATCTTTTCAAGAAAAGGATCCCTTTCCTTGCCTCTCATTCTTCGGCTCAAACCTGCCTGTCCTAACTTCTGTCACATTCCAGCCTGCCTTGAAGCCCTGATTAGGCCCCTATTAGGCCCTCTTTTTATAACTCTGTATACAGCATTAACCCTGCTTCCTTGCAACACAGTACATTACGCATGCTCATCCCTAACAACTATCCTTTTGTTTTCCTTCCTCTCCAGAGATACTTTCAAATATATTGAACTGTGTTGAATAGCATTGACTTGTTCTTTTATTCCAACAGACTCTTCTCAGTGGTAGACTCTAGTAGGGAGGCATGGACACAACTAAGGATGTGAGAAGTCTAAGGCATAGGCTTTAAAGTCAGTCAGAACTGGGATCAAATTCCAGCTTGACACTTTTTGTCTGTGTAGCCTTAGTCAGATTACTCATCTTCTCTGTTTCACTTTTCACATTTTCAGATGGAAATAATCATAGCACCTAGCTCACAGATTTGTTGTTTCAGATTAAAGGTAGTATAGCTGCACAAAATGTTTGGCATTGTATGTGGCACAAAATAAGCTCTCAATATATGGAGGCGATGAAATATGACATAAGCTACCTCCAAGAATTTGCGGTCTAGAGGGCGTAAAATAAACATGTATCTTAAAACTCTATTCCCTGTCATACAGTTATAGTTAGTGGAATAAAGGTGGAAGCAGAGTATCATGGAAATGTAGACATTTCTCCATTTGGGAAATTGGGGGGTGGCTTCTTCAAAAAATTCAGACTGTGTATTTCTTCAATAGGCAGATATTGGCAGTCAGAGCATATCACTGAGGGAGGATGGTAACAAGGGAGAATGCTAGAATTGGAAGCAGGAGCTTGCATCACCAGCTGTGCAACCTTGAACTGTCTGAGCCTGTTTCCTTCACAGTAAAATGGGGAGAATGCCACTAGCTCTGCCTGCATCCCAGCACTGGCACTGGTAACAAATAAGATACCACATGGAGGGGATCCCTGGGTGGCGCAGCGGTTTAGCGCCTGCCTTTGGCCCGGGGCGCGATCCTGGAGACCCGGGATCGGGTCCCACGTCGGGCTCCCGGTGCATGGAGCCTGCTTCTCCCTCTGCCTGTGTCTCTGCCTCTCTCTCTCTCTCTCTCTCTCTCTCTCTCTCTCTCTCTTTCTCTCTGTGTGACTATCATAAATAAAAAAAAAAAAATTTAAGATACCACATGGAAAGGGCTTTGTGAATCCAGAACATTACAAATGTGATTGTGATGGAATGAGTAATTTTTATTGTCAGCCCCGTGGAAATAGGTTTATATCTATCCATTCATACCCCCTTGGCTCACCCCCTTGTGGCCAGTGGCACACTTTTGCAAATCAGCTAGCCAGTACTCTCAAAAGGATTTTGACAAAGTCTATCTACTCTTCTTGACTCACACGTGAGCAGAGGCAAGCAGTACACCAGATAGATCATTCAGAACAGATCATCAAACCGTCACTTCTGCTTAGCACCGAAATTAGAAAAGGATGGATTGCACAGGAGGAGGCCTTAGATCACCTACAAAGTGAATAATTAAGAATTAGCTCTAATAAGAATTTGCAAAATCACTGTGCAAGTGATCGGATCACTGTGTGAATGTGAAAACCCAAGATGGCCAGGCAAGCAGATTTTAGCCCCTTAGAACAGACTGTCTCCGTTGGCCTCTGTCTGTTGTCTTTGAGGGGACTGCTGAATCTGACGCATTCAAGCAAGGTCTGGTTTTGTCTCTGGGACCTGGGATTTTTGCGGTTTGCTCTGTCCAGGATGGGCTGTTTACATACCTTTGAGCAAATAGTTGGAGGAGCTCCCGGTTCACTCAGCCAGCTGTTACAAAGGAGGATTTATCTTTTTTCCTCTCTTGTCCAACCTAGAAGACAAAGAACATGGCAACTAGTGCCTAATCTCAGGGTGTGCTGGAGCCTGCCAAAAAAGTAAAGCAAAAGAAACTTTCCCCGGCATGGCCCTTGCAGTTGCCTCCAAAGAAGCTCATAAATATGCACCTTCCAGACACCTGCAAAGAGGAGGTGACCCCACAGCCTCCCAAACAATAGATAGTAGTGAGGGGGCCATTACCCAGGGCAGGGATGCTGCCAGTGTCGCTGCCCTGGGGCAGTCTGTCACATATATTTTTAGGGTCCTCCCTTGAAAATGACATGTGTGAGGGCCGTAGTTTGGGGAAGGAACTTGGCATTACACCATTTGCCTGAGAGTGCATGGGTTCGCCCAGTGATGAAGTGTTGGAGGTTAATGGAACAGCTCTGAGATAATAGTAATAAGAAAAAAAGCAAAAGGTCTTCAGAGGAGAAAGCATGCAGCATTTGGAGTCAAGCTGACCTCTTTGCATTTGAAACCTGGGTGACATCAGACAAATTACTTAACCTTTCTGAGCCTTGGTTTCTTCATCTACAAAATGAGAGTAGTAATAGTAACTATCTTGAGTCATTGGGGAAGGAGTAATATGCAGCACAGTCCCTGGCACCCAAAGTGTGCGCAATAAATAGTAACTGCTAAAATAACTCCCAGGCTTCTCAAAATACCCAATATGCTTTGCATGACTGAGCCCATTTCCAGAAGTTGCATAAATACACTGCCTATAGAACACGCTCGTTGCTTTGTTCTTTCAGGAGCAACAAAGCACCATGCAGAAAGTGGTGTTTATTTCTTTTTGTGGAGCTGAGAGAGTTGGAAAGGGGAAGGGTTACAATTTTCCATTTCACAGATAGGAAATCAGAGGCATAGGAAAAGTAAATGACTTGCTTAATGTCACATAAAGCCCGCAACAGAGCTGTAATCAGTCACGACCCCCAGTGCAATGCAGCTTGGGTTCACCTTTCGAACGTCAGAGGTAAGCAACTCCTGTCTGAACTTTAATACCATCAGTCTAATTTCTCAGATTTTTCTATAGTTGCTGATCTTGAGAACCTTTGAAGCTTTGGGGAAATCACATGGGTGATTTGACCTTAAATCTCATGCCACTGGCAAAAGATTAATTGCTAAGACCTGGAAAGAGGCCAGACAACTCTGTGTAGCTGAATAACACCACCGACTAGGGATGTGACTGTCCTGACAGATTTAGTTAGTACATAATTGATAAATCTAGAGTTTGTATAGCTTCGCTTCCCAGATAGATAAGGCAACAGGCTCTAAGGGTTGACATTTACAGAAGCCCTACCAGAGTTGTGTAACACTGAAGCTAGGTTTTCTACTCTGTTCCTCAGAATATTGCTCATTTTCTAAGTGTCTGTTCTCAGTGAGCAAGAAGATGAGGGGATCTGACAAGAGGCCACCTCGCCCACCATTCCTGTAAGCAGGAATGCCCATCATGCTTTAGCGCTGTCCCGGGACTGCTTTTGAAGTCTTATATACCCTGACCCAATGCAGGCTGAGGTCAGAGACAGATGCAAGGCATTACATAACAGTTAGGAATTTTTCGTCACAATCAGAATCCAAAACAGATAAAAGGTAGCCAGATGCAACATCAAAGGTTGGACAGTAGGTCTAAGCCCTGGACAGAAAGCTGCAAGGCTTGCCTCTTATTCCAGACTTGAGTGTTGTGAGACCCTTTCTAGCAGTTTGAAATCTGATAGGCACACAGAAACCTAAGCTTTTCTTTCTTACTCTTGGGTCACTCATTCCAGAAAGTATTTTGCTTATCAGAAGGAATTGTTGGGGTGCCTGGGTGGCTCAGTCAGTTAAGTGTTTAATTCTTGATTTCGGCTCAGGTCATGATCTCAGGGTCGTGAGGACTCTGCACTGGGTGTGAAGCCTGAGTAAGATTCTATCTCTCTCTCCCTCTGCCCCATCCCTGGCCCCCGCCCAGCGCACACGTGTGCAAACTCATGCTCACTCACTCTCTCTCTCTCTCTAAAAAAAGAATTGTTAGTGGACATGGTTCACTGTAATTTTTATTTGGAGCCCATACAAGGCTTTATAATAAGGTTTGGTTACCGTTCCTTAACTCTTGCTGTCTAGTTTTATGCTGCAATTTAGGAGGCTTTGTCGTGTACCTGATATATACCCGGTATACTTTGGTAATTTTGGCACTTCCACTTGTCAAATATCAGACCCAGTAGTGTAGGTCAGTAAATCAGTGGTGTACAGTGTACAAGATCTTATGTACCGTGGATCTTTTTTGGGTTTTGCCAGATGTGAATGAAGATATCATTACATAGCCTTCCTTACCTTCACACATAAAAACCTATCAACTTCATGTATTATAACCACACATAGAGCTATTTTCCTGAGCTAGTTATCACTTTCTGAATACAATTTGCTGATGTATATTACTTTTTAATAATCATTTGGAAAAAACCATATGATGTATGATTTTATTACATAGACACCATTTTTATTTTTTATTTTCTTGTTATTTAAATTTAGTGAACATACAGTGCAGTATCAGTTTCTAGAGTAGAATTCAGTGATTCATCACTTACATACAACACCCAGTGCTCATCACAAGTGCCCTCCTTAGTGCCCATCCCCCACCCTCTTCCCTCCATCACCCCTCAGTATGTCCTCTATCATTAAGAGTCACTTATGGTTTGTTTCCTTCTCTCCTTTTTCCCCCTTCCCATATGCTCATCTTTTTTCTTTCTTAAATTCTACATATGAGTGAGATCATAGGGTATTTGTCTTTCCCTGACTGACTTACTTCACTTAGTATAATACTCTCTAGCTCCATCCAAGTCGTTGCAAATGGGACACTTTTTTTATATTAAAATCTTTTATAAGGTCACTACTAGAAGCTTTGTCACTCTGAGTTAAATAAGTGATTTTTTTGTCTTCTTTCATTAGATGAATTAGAGAAATTGGAACAGGAGAGGCTGGCTTTGGAAGCCACTATCAAAGATAACGAATGTGAAGAAGGAAGTGGAGGCATCCGAGGCTTGTTTAAAAAAGCTAGCAAGTTGAACATTACTAAGCCAACTCCTAAGAAAGGTAAGTACTTTTAAAATTCACAAGTAAAGGAGTACCTGAGTGGCTCAGTGGTTGAGTGTCTCCCCTCATGGGATCTTGGTGGTGATCCTGGGGTCCTGGCATCAAGTCTCACATCAGGCTCCCCGCAGGAAGCCTGCTTCTCCCACTGCCTATGTCCCTGCCTCTCTCTTTGTGTCTCTCGTAAATAAATAAAATCTTTTTAAAAATAAAATAAAATTCACAAGAAATAGACAAAAATGAGCCACTGCTTAAGTATCTTAGGGTTTAGAAGTCAGCATCTAAGATGTTGGGGGCAATGAGTTGGAGAAGAACTTAAGAGATGCTTCTTTCCAGACAGTAGTATAGATGAAATGTGCATGTTATTTATCAGTAACATTAAGCTCTTTGCACCATCTTATTGTAAAAACTTAAGTATAAAATGGCAGTATTTGGTTTGGGAGTCCTATAGTGCTTACAGAGATTTGAGTGCCATAAAATAGATATTTCTTAATTAAGATGGAAAGGGGATAGGAATTTTAGAACCAATGCCCATGTGGACTTATCTACACACACACACACACACACACACACACACACACACCCCTTGCAGACATTTCAGGAGACTGAAAGGTAACCAGTACAATTAAATGAGGGATCCATTTAGAACCCTAATTTCAAAAAAACATCTGTCTTTAACACAAAACAGAATTCTGGCCTTGCAACTTTCTTGATACTGATTACCTGTAGATTTCAGCTGAGTGGCACACTTACCTCTGAACGTCCAGTATGCACCCCAGGAATAGAAGACCACAGACTGAGAGCTTTTTGTACAACTTTTAAACAGGTGATCTGAGTTTTTTGAAAACTGAAAATTGCTTCCTTCTCAGAAACACTGCAGGTTGAGTTTAATGAGGTCCATAGCGACCTCTGCTGGTAGAAAATTAGAATGTTAACATACACAATCCTCTACTTCCTGAAGTCACTTGGTGTGAGCCCCAGAAAAGATAATTTCTCTGGGAGAGTTTTTGAGTCAAATAGCAAGATCCAGATGTACACCATTTTCATTTCATATAAATGAACATTTAAAATTCCAGTCTAGTCTGACAAGCTCCAACCTTTTAAAGACGTCCTTCAATGAGGCTCTCTAATACCCCAGGAGAGGTTTGGTTCTCTTTGCTTGTTTTCCTACTGTCACCCAAGGACAAAGTTTCACCTGTAATATAATATTTTTTATATATTTACATAGAATAACATGAAATATAAACATTGCCCTCACTCAAATTCTAAAATACCCTTGGGTTCCTGGAATATTTGATGGGCTATAGGAAAGCCTATTAAGTATTGCATACCTTAACATGACATTGTCTAGGAAAATAATGTGTTTAAATCTCAAGCTGGAGGTACATCGGGACCTTCAGGGTGTAAATATTAGAATAAGACCATCTGGATGCTAACAGTCTTCTTTCCTTTTCAATTATTTGGTTTATTCATGAGAAATGTTAACTATTCATTGAATCCGCTCTGCCATTCAATCATTCAATGTTAGTTACAGTTGGGAAAAGCAATGGAAAATTCAGAAGTCATAGCCCAATACTGGTTTTTTGGCTGATGGGGGAGAAGGGAAGCATCAATGTTCTTATTAATGAAAAGGGACTTATTATTTCTTCTAGAAGCCTGTTTCTGGATCACAGATCTTTTGGCAAAAATACATCCTCCGAAAGTCAGCATGTCTCATTGCTCAGAAAAGCAAAATAATGTTAGGTTTTCTTTCCAACACCTCAAATTTCAAACACAGCTCTAAAGTAGGCTCCTTCACAGCTCTGGGCTTTCACTGGTTGACAACTCTTTTTGAGTTCTAGATCAGGACAAGCCCTACCTCCAGGCACTAATACAGGAGTCCTCGGGATGCTTTGATTTGCATGTAAGTGGGGGCAGAGTTTGGTCCATTTTGTCAAGATATTTACTTTCTCCCTCAGCAGTCCTAGGGAGATAGAAGCCATGTAAGATAATTGCTTCGGAACTGACAGGCCCTAAACATGGAAGCAGCAAAAGACGGAACAAAGCATCTTCAGAACCCCTCAGATCAGAGAGGAAGCTCTGAAGCAGCTGTCAGCCCTACTCTAAGCACTTTGCTGACACCATCCCTTTGAAACAGAGCAATGAAGTCACAACTTTAAAAGATGTGGAAATGAGAAATAATATATATGGTGTAGCAATGAAAATCTCTACTGGCAAATAGGAGCCAGGGTCCTGCTCAAACACTGGCCTAGTTCCCTGGTATACTTTCACTATATCCTTGAGAGGGTGGAAAGTGCAGTAAAAAAAATTTAAAAAAGGAATAAAAATAAAATTTGAAGAACTTTCTGTACATCCTTATCTCTACCTCAAGTAAAGGAATTTTGTCTTTCTGTATTTCCTGGCTTGTTCATCTCATTCACTGAGATTCAAATAGTTCAGTGGCTTTCCCTTTGCTTCACAAGTCTCCTTGGAAACAGAAAAGCATCAAGCCAGCCTGATATTAGGACCTAAGGGGCATAGAATCAAGATGCATTTGGTCCCTAGCCAACTTTATAATCCAGACATTCATGGAATTTACACCCATTGCACTCAAATGAATGCTCTAATGAAGAAATAATTCTGCTTCTATTGCTTATCTCTAGAAAACCAATCACCACATCTTCTACTTTCAAGTAAATTTGAAAATATGATTAAGTTGTTATATCTGAAATTTTGGAAAATGGTGATATTTTAGCTATTGTATCAGATAATTTAGCATTATTACCTGCCTAAATAATAATTCTACCCTGAGATTACTAGAGACCTGAAAATAATCTACTGCTTTATTATAAAAACTGTAATCATGAAACCAGTATCAAATTTTTTCGAACTTTTAAAGGTGACCTAAATTACTGTGGGACTTGACCTTTATCTCTTCTTTTCAGAGCTCACTGTTTACCAGTAAGTATGAGAAAATACAGATCCATGACCCTTCCTCTATTTCCCTGAATAGATCTATTGGCTAGTTATTTTGTTTCTTTCTTCAAAATTCAAATGTGTATACTACTTTTTCTTTCATTACAGATAGCAGCATGAACACGATCCAATCAATGCATGTGGGGGAGTTCAACCAGAAATTGGTGGAAGCCAGCACCCAATTTAAAAAGAAGCAAGGAAAAGGCACAATTGATGTGTGGTGGTTATTTGATGATGGAGGTAAAAACAATTCCAGAATATACACTAGGGAGCAGAAGTACTATGTTGATCAATTTAACAAACAGCACGGGAAGGTATATAAACACAGTATCAGTTAAAGAATAATATTTCTGTGTTTTCCAAAGATTTTAAATTATTTAGGAGCAATGAATGTGGGAATGAATAAAGATGTAAAGCTATTCATAATTCCTTCTGTCATAATTTACTCTTTCTTTAGGGTTAACACTCCTTATCCCCTATATCTTGACTCTCAGAAAAAAATGGAAAGACTGTAAATTAAGAATCTATGTTGGAGGGAAGATCAATCGCATTGAAGAAGAAAAAATTGCGTAAGTAACTCATCACTCTGTGTTAGAACACTTTGGATATCTGTTGCTTTAATTTTAAGAACTTTAAGTGTTTCTGAGACACAAGAGATTTAAAGACAAAGCCATAGTGATAGGCCTTGTGTTTAGTTATTTTTTTGGTCATTAAATTATCTGCATAATTCTTGTAATCACTCTCTTTGTGTCCCTTGATCCCCTGCCACAAATGCTTTCAAAAAGGAGTTTGACACAGAAGCCTCATCTCAAGTCTTGAATGAGACTATCATTGTCTTGTATAATGTTTGCTTTCCTTTGACTAGTGACTATCCAAGAAAGGAAAAGCCCAAAGGAATCTGTGTCCAGTAGCTTCCTTGGGGCGGGTGGAACCTGTTAATTTGTGGTGGTTACTCCAGCAGAGCACCCTAAAATAGAACTGAGAGACGGAACCTGGTCCTAGTCCCAGCCCTGCCCCCAATAAGCTGCAGGACCTTGCAACAACAGTCAGGGCACAGATCTAGGCCCTCTGTTTCTCATCTGTGGCTTGAAAGAGTTCAAAGGATGACTATTGAAAACTCTTTTACTTAAAAAATTCAAATCAGTCCTCAGAGTGATCTTTGGGAACTAAATTTGCATCTTTGTCATCGATTTAACTGTGGAGAGCCTGATATGTAGCTGTGGAAGCAGCAAGCATGTTGAGAATGTGGTGCATCTAAACGTCTCTGGTGGAAATCTGGAGAGAGACCTTCAGCAGCCCTCATGGCAAGCCTAAGTCCTGAGCCCTTCCAAAAGTCACAAAATAATGGCAGACATTTATTCAGTAATTTGTCATATTTTCTCCCCCATCCTGGAAGGATAATATATATTAAATATATTATACATGCTTAAATATATAATTTTATTATATATATTATATGATTAATATATTTCATTCCTCTTAAAGAGAGTCATATTATAATGAAAACTAACATGATGGCTATAATAATTTGTATTTTCTTAAGGCCTCCAGTAACTTACTGGGGGCAAGTGATGAAATTTAAAGATGGCTGGTGGATTAGATGATAGCATGGCATCAGCGTTAAATTTCCTGATTTCAAAGACTGTACTTTGTTTGCATAAAAGAATGTTGTTATTCTTAGAAAATACTGAAATATTTATAGATAAAGGAGCCTAAGAGCAGTAGCTTACTTTAGATGGAAGCTAGCTAGGCAGGTGGGTAGGTGAGCAGAAAGCAAGAAGAAAAGGAAAGAAAGCTATAGATAGACAGCTGTAGCTGTATATAAAGAGAAAAAGTGTTAAATCAAATGGGGCAAGATATAAACAATTGGCAAGATCTGGGATTTTTTTGTGTATGCTGTCCTTGCAGCTTTTCTGTAACTTTGAAATTGTATCAAAAATTTCAGTTGCCAGGGGAAGAACCGCCAATATATAATAATATATCATAATTATTAGTCTGTCAGTACATTGTCAGTAACTCTAAAAATTATCAGCAAGATGATAGTCAATAATATTAAATTTGTCCTCTTTTTTCCCAAATGATAAGGAAGTATGTACAGCTCTATGTTATCTTACCTGAAATGCGAATGCGGAGTTGGGTTTGCTCTTCCTAGGATCTGCACCTACAAGAATTTGTCTTTGCCATCAGTGGAATAGCTTGGTCGCATTTAATATACTGTGATGGAAATCAAACACTAAGCAGAGCCTTTGAACATGAAGCTGAAATAAGCTGTGAACTCTTTGCCTGTAAATAGTCGCCTATGCAATGATGAAGTATTTCTCTCTTATATTTCCAGAATGGCTTCCCTTCTGAGCAAATTTAGGATAAAATTTGCAGATATCCATATCATTGGTGACATCAACATTAAACCAAACAAAGAGAGGTATGAAACATTTAACAAGATCCGTTGTTTACTGCTGGTACTGTCTCATTTTCTTTTATGTTGATTATTGAAGGGTAAATATGTTGTCTATCAACTGCAGTGACCTCCTAATAAGATATAATTAAAAGGGACTTACTTCAGATAACCATGCAGAGCTATCAAATAAATTATAATAGGAGGAAAAGGTTTTATGGTAAAGTTGAGCTTGAGAGAGAGACTTGTTGAAACACAGATTAGTTCGCATTTTAGAATTGCCCTTCATGTTCTTGGTTTCTTTGGTGGCAAGAGTAGCAGGAAGCACAAGCTCAGCCAATTCTGGACTGAGCTGTCAGGGCAAGGTCTCATTATTTAAAATTACTGGTGGGGTACCTGGGTGGCATAGTCAGTTAAGCATCCACTCTTAATTTCAGCTCAAGTCGTGATCTCAGGGTCTTGAGATGGAGCCGGGCCTCAAGCTCTGCGCTCACTCAGTGAGGAGTCTGCTTGAGATTCATTCCCCTCGCCCCGGTCCCTCCCTTCCCTCTAAAATAAATAAATCTTTTTAAAAAATTCTTTTTAAGTTACTGGTGGTACATCTTGGATGGGGAGCTCTGACAGAGAAGAGAGAAACAGCTTGAGTTTTCCTTGCACAATGACAGGGCCGACCCTCCACAGCTATTTTCACTTTTAGGTACTAAGGGCCCATGCCTTAGAGCTATGAAATTTTGGGAGTCCTCTAAAACTATCTGAAACCTGGCAAGGAAATGTCTTGGTTCCAAATTTTTAAAATGCCTAAATTGAAATAATTGTCTAAATGTCTTCAAACCGTGGCATAATTTTAACCCTCATTAATTATTAGATTTGCCAAGTCCATGGTATTTGAAAACAGCTTGTAGGCTAGATCCTCACAGGAATTCCCAGACGTGCAAGAAGAGTGTCTGGAAATTATAGCTGATGTTAAACAAACTACTTTGAGTGATAATTTACCAATTATAATATTTTTCAATTGTTTACAGTCCAAAATCATATTTACTGTTGCATCTGCATATGACTTAATACATTTGATTTGGTGTGGAGTGGGGCGTTCAAGGTTGAGAGTACAAAAGGGACACAAGGATCTTAGTAGAGCTTAGGTTCTTAGTAGCCCATTGGACGTCTTCTTATTTCTGTTTACCAGCATTTCTCCTTCCTCCTGCAGTTCTTGATGGGTTGCAATTCCACACTCAAATCTTATTATTCTTCCCTTCTTTTGATTCACTGTAATCCTATATGAACCAAATATCTACCAGAAAAGCATCCAGATTTAAGATGCAACCTTAGGAACTACACTACCTTGAACTTCATGTCATCTGAGGGTATTCATGATGCCTCCAAGGCTGTGGGTCAGTTAAAATGGCTTTACAAAACATCCTAATTGTCATAAGAAAACTATAATCAACAGAGTTCACCCTGGCTATGATTATGCAATATTTCCTCATATCATATAAACCACTAATGCCTTCTACTCCTATATTTCTACAGTTTTAAATACTAAAATTAAGATGCAGTTAATAATACCTCTTATTAAATGTAATTAACATTCTGATATGAACTGGGTCGTCATGTAGTACTCTCTGGTAGCTTTCCACATTTCATTTGAAGAATTTTAATTCCTAAGTCATTGGAATTGGCAATGATGTGATCAAACAGGCTCTTCTTACGTCTCTAATTGGTGGAAATGCATTCTATTTCATAACACAGCAGGTACAATGATTTCCTAGCATGTGCCACTTCGCAACAGGCCAGAGCCTGCCAGAGCTCTGTAAGCACAGGACTATTTACTGTTGTCTGGAGGGTAGTCGTGGTGTCCCCTAATGACTTCAGTTTTTCTATTAGCCCTGGCTCAACGCTGGGCACAAATTAGTCATCTACTCCTTGTAGTCAAATTCTTCTTGCTGTTATTTGTCTTAACAGCAACTAAGGACTGTCTATGCTTGCTGATTAATTTTGTTCCTATATCCTTTGCCTCTTTACTGATCAATCTGATTTTCTCAAGTTTCTTTCCCTTTCTTTCATGCTAGTCTCTGCCATGCTGCCACAGTTACTCCCTGCATAGCTATCCTATCTGTCCTATCACCAAGGATGTCAATGTACCTCTTCCATTAATGCTTTTCCATTGTTTGAGTGCCCATCAATTTATTTTACTAACCCTGAACTTTGTGCTCTTTTCATTTTTAAAAATATTTTACTTATTTATTCATGAAAAACGCGCAGAGGAGGCAGAGACACAAGCAGAGGAAGAAGCAGACACCTCTCTGTGGGGAGCCCAATGCAGGACTCAAACCCAGGACTCCAGGATCACAACTTGAGCCAAAGGCAGACCCTCAACCTCTGAGTTATAATAGATGCCCCTGTTATTCTTTTTTCAGACAGTAAATATTATGGAGAGTAGTAAAAAATGAAGGACCAGGCATTTTTGTTCTTGTACTGGTGTCTAAATTTAATTTTAGACACCATTTTAATTTGTGTTTCTTAAATATCCTTATCATCCTGCAATGAATGCAGAAATCTATTTCCCTTTCTCAGGAAAAACAAAATGAATTATATTTCACAATTTGGGGGATATTTTTCTCTGATAGTTCAAGGTCTTGAGGAAAATGGAAAAAAAACCCTATTTTTACTGCAGTAAAAGAATCTTTGCAGGTAATGTACCCTGGTGTGAAGAAAAAATACCACCAAGGAAAGGGGTGCTGGAAGAGTCATTCTCCTCTCTTCAGCCTTCCACCATAACTGATACCATATTGCTTTGTCAAACAGTCACATATCTGGCATTGGCAATGATATTCAAATATATAAAAGCAATCCTACTTTAAAACAGAGAATGATCAGTCGGTAAATCTCACAGATGGCCATTGGTAGTACATCTGGTACCTTTGTGATAATTTTTTATTAAGTTTTTAATCTAAATTCCAGTATAGTTAACTATGTTATATTAGTTATATTAGCTTCAGGTGTACAATAGAGTGATTCAACAATTCTGTGTATTACTGAGTGCTCATCATGATAAGTGTACTCTTAATCCCCTTGGCCTATTTCACCATCCTCCCACCTATCTCCCCTCTAGTAACCGTCTATTTTCTATAGTTAAGAGTCTGTTTTTTTGGTTTGTCTTTTTATTCCTTTGTTCAATTGTTTGTTTCATAATTCCACATATAAGTGAAATTACATGGTATTTGTCTTCCTCACACTAGCTTATTTTACTTAGCATTATAATCTCCATTTCCATCCATGTTGCTGCAAGTGACAAGATTTCATTCTTTTTTATGGCTGAGTAATATAATGGGGGATGCAAATATCCTTTCAAGTTAGTGTTTTTGTATTCTTCGGGTGAATACCCAGTACTACAATAACTAGATCATAGGGTAGCTCTATTTTAAATTTTTGAGGAACCTCCGTACTATTTTCCAGAGTAGCAGCACCAGTTTGCATTCCTACTAACAGTTCATGATGGTTCCATTTTCTCCACATCCTGTTTGTTTGTTTGTTTGTTTTTATTTTAACCATTCTGAAAGGTGTGAAGTAATATCTCATTGTAGTTTTGATTTGCATTTCCCTGGTGATGAGTGATGTTGAGCATCTTTTCACTGGTCTGTTGGCCATCTGTATGTCTTCCTTGGTGAAATGTCTGTTCATGTCTTTTGCCCATTTTTTAATTGGATTATTTGTTTTGGGATGTTAAGTTGTGTAAGTTCTTTATATATTTTTGGATTCTAACCCTTTATTGGATATGTCATTTGCAAATATCTTCTCCCCATCAGTGGATTCCATTTTAGTTTTTCCGATTGTTTCCTTCACTGTGCAAAAGGTTTTTATTTTGATGTAGTCCCAATAATCTATTTTTGCTTCTATCTCCCTTGCCTCATGAGACATGCCTAGAAAAAAGGTTGCTATGGTGAATGTCAGAGAAATTACTGCCTGTGCTCTCTTTTAGGATTTTTGTGGTTTCAGATCTCACATTTAGGTCTTTAATCCATTTTGAGTTTATTTTTTGTGTATGGTGTAAGAAAGTGGTCCAGCTTTATTCTTTTGCACGTAGCTGTCTAGTTTTCCCAACACCATTTGTTGAAGAGACTGTCTTTTTCCCATTGCATATTTTTGTCTCCTTTGTTGAAGATTAATTGACCATATAATTATGGGTTTATTTCTGGGCTTTCTGTCCTGTTCCATTGATCCATGTGTCTATTTTTGTGCCAGTACCATACTGTTTTGATTACTACAGCTTTGTAGTATAACTTGAAATCTAGAATGGTGATATTTCAATCTTTGGTTTTTCTTTTTCAAGATTATTTTGGCTATTTTGTGGTTCCATACAAATTTTACTATTATTTGTCCTATCTGTGAAAAATGCTGTTGGTAGTTTTATAGGGATTGCATTAAATCTGTAGGTTGCTATAAGTAGTATAGACATTTTACCAATACTTGTCCAAGTTATGAGCATGAAATAATTTTCCATTTGTTTGTGTCATCTTCAATTTCTTCTATTAGTGTTTTATACTTTCAAGTACAGGTGTTTCACCTCCTTGGTTGTGTTCATTCCCAGATATTTTATTATTTTTGGTGTAATTATGAAAGGGATTGCTTTCTTAATTTCTCTTTCTGTTATTTCCTAATTAGAGTATAGAAATGCAATGGATTTCGGTACATTGGTTTTATATCCTGTGACCTTACTGAATTAAGTTATCAGTCTAGTTTTTTTGGTGGAATTTTTAGGCTTTTTGATATGTAGTAGCATGTCAGCTGCAAATAGTGTAAGGAATACTTCTTCCGGGATCCCTGGGTGGTGCAGCAGTTTAGCGCCTGCCTTTGGCCCAGGGCGCGATCCTGGAGACCCGGGATCGAATCCCACGTCGGGCTCCCGGTGCATGGATCCTGCTTCTCTCTCTCTCTCTCTCTCTCTCTCTCTCTCTCTCTGTGTGTGTGTGTGTGTGTGACTATCATAAATAAATTTAAAAAAATTTAAAAAAAAAAGGAATACTTCTTCCTTATCAATTTGAATGCTTTATGTTTCTTTTTCTTGTTTGATTGCTATGGCTAGGACTTCCAGTACTATGTTGAATAAAAGTGGTGAGAGTGGACATCCTTGTCTTGTCCCTGATCTTTCAGGGAATGCTATCAATTTTCCACAATTGATTATAATGAGCTGTGGGTTTTTCATATATGGCCTTTATTATGTTGAGTTATGTTCCCTCTAAACCTACTTTTGTTGAGGCCTTTGGATCATTTTTAAAAGGCAACTCCTCTGAATTCAATTAGAGAAAGAAGAATCTTCCTCTGAGCTGATCCAGGCCCTGTCCAAGGGCCTAACACTTATTAGAGTGCCAGCTCAATTTCAGCTCTCTTGGCCAGGAAGCCCCTACCTACCATTAATAATTATCTCCCCAACACTGCTTTTTCTTGGTCATCATGTGACATACAATGTCAAAAATAGTTTGAGAATGATTTCCATGTTGGAGGCTAATGTTAAATGTACCTAGATTGCCTCTAATAAATCCTTTGACTACTCATAAAACATCAGTATTATGGAGATATTTTATCATAGAAACATTATAAATATGGCTGGGCATGGGTGAAAGGGAGTACAAAAGCAAAGTTAATGAGAAAATAATTGAGCCTGGAGAAACTGAAAATCTCTTGTGGTTAAATTTTATTTTTTATTGAATATACTGATTTAAAAGTCATAGGCCAAAAAGGCAACAATCTTTACATAGAAATTAAAGAGAAAGTAGAAGCAATTAACTGGATACTTTAAAGATACTAGAGTCATGGGGTGCCTGGGTGGCCCATTCTGTTAAGCAGTTAAACAGTTAAGCAGCTGACTCTTGGTTTTGACTCAGGTCATGATCTCAGGGTCATGAGATCCAGCCCTGTGTGGGGCTCTGTGCTCAGTGGGAATCGGCCTATCCCTCTCCCTCCTTCTCTGCCCCTCTCCCCATGTTCTCTCTCAAATAAATAAAATCTTAAAAAAAAAAAAAAAGATACTAGAGTGGTCACAAAACAACTAGCCTATTAATTTGAGAAAAATCTTATATGAACTTAGGGGGAAATTTTTTTTTTACAATTAACAAATTTTTATACTTTGGTGTCATGAAGAACAAGGATGAAGAAGGCAGGGCAGGTGTAAATTAATTTTTTAAATTGAACTAATGGTCATTTACATTCAATGGCATGTAAAACTTGGCCTATTCTGGAGTCAATTAAAACAATTTTTATAGGGATACCTGGGTGGCTCAGTGGTTGAGTATGTGCCTTTGGCTCAGGTGGTGATCCTGGGATCCTGGGATCAGTCCCACATCAGGCTCACCACAGGGAGCCAGCTTCTCCCTCTGCCTATGTCTCTACCTCTTTTTCTGTGTCTCTCATGAATAAATAAATAAACTCTTTGGAAATTTTTATATAAAAAATCAGATTTCATAAGAATCAGAATAAAAATCTTGAGCCACCTTTGCATCATCTAGCTAGGAGAATGGAAAATGGCCAGCTCAGGGATAAACCTTAGGAGAAAGAAGTCAAGATGAACATAGACAAAGAACAGTAAGAGTTGAGAGAAAATAAATGGGCAAATACAGTCCCATTATAACCCATTATGTCACTCAGCATGTTTTGATGCAAATAAAAAGTGACTTAAATGATGCTAATTATTGGTAAACATAACTGAAAAAATCCAATTATGTTTTGGCTTTCAGGCAAAGCTTGATCTAGAAGGTTAATTTTGTAATCAAGGACTAAGTCTTTTCCATTATCTTTACTCGACCTTCCATTATGAAAGCATCAATCAAAATTGATTTTGTTCATAAAAACAAGATGACAGCCAGTAGCAACCAGGACTACATACTTGCTCACTTATGTTCAGTGGGACAGAAAGCTTGTCTCTTCTTTAGTCATTGAACTCACATCATGGGCTCCATTGCACCTACCTAAGCCACTAAGCCATTTTACTTGGTCAGTGAAATGCTAGGTGCCCTTTGGTCAAGTTTGCCTGAGATATGTGCCTACCCTGGCCAAAGGGCTCTGGCAGATGGAATAGAATTGTGCTGATTAGCTTATGCTGGGGATGGAGTCACTCTCACCCAAACTGCATTGGGGAGGATAGTATGGATGCCAAGGAGACAACAAGCAACATGCACTCCACTTCCTTTCTTAGGAAACTGTTTTCAAACTGGTTTTTCTAATAAGCACCTGGGCTGAGATGCAAATAAAACTTTTATCTTGATCAAAATAAGTATATAGAGAGCTTAAACAGAGAGCCTCTCAACTGCTAACCTCAGTCCTATGACTATATAACCAAGACACCTTGGTTTTACAGAGCACTATACACTTACAGAACACTGTCACCCAAATCATCATCTAACCATGACACCAATCTTCAGGCCAGCTCTCAGCAGCCACCATTATCTCCTTTTATAGGCGACGTTATCCAGGTCCAGGAGGACAATGGAAGTGTGGGAGTGAGAACCCAGGTTCTTCTTTCCTAGGCTGGCACCTTTCCATTGCACAGATTACAGCCAAGGGTCTCTGAAGGCATGGCACTGTTGGAAGGAATAGCAAATAAAAGTATCATGTAGTTGAAAGAATAGGGCATATCAGTCATTCCCCATTGTTGTCTATTCTAAATAAACCAAAGTGTCAGAAATCTACTTCATTCATTATCTCTTCAATCCCTTAATAAAGGCACTGGCAGGTTCTCCTTTATAATCTCTGCACTTTGATCTGCAAATTCAAAATCAGGGCAACCGATGAGATCATTGAACTCATATTTTAATTCCTTAACCCAGCAGCACATTAATTCTAGTTACCTCTCATTCCAAAGTTACTAAATTATAAGCTATATTATATAAAATCAAAATATATTGTATTATTTGGCATCATCTTACAGTAGCACACTGAAGACAACCATTCTCATAAATTGTAAGCTTTGTTTCATACTACTGTTTAAAAAAATCTTTGAGATTCTTACAAAAGACAAGAATGAGATTTTCTGGCACTCTTTAAAATGTTCCACAGCTGTGAGATACTGCTATTAGTTTTCCACTCAATGATTTCTTCTTAATTGCTCTAAAATGGCCTCAGATTTTTAGACATAAAAATATTATTGATTTTTGTTCATTCCTCTAACATGCACCTGAAAAATAGTCATTTAAACATCTCAGACAGCAACAGTAGACATGAAAAGGACAAAAGCTGCATTATTTGCTGCAAACATCCAAATTGCTCTATAACCATTAAATTTGCTATTCTAAAAAAAAAAAAAAAAAAAAAAATTTGCTATTCTAAGCTGCCCATCCACCGCCCCCTGCCGGCAGGGAAAGGGCCCTTTGGACTAAAAGGAGAGAGAAAGCCCAGCCAAATCCTATCCCAAGTAACCTAGTTCATCTCCCACATTAATTCATGAATGTCTCCTAGACAGTCTGTACAATGAGCAGATGGAAACTCATTTAAGCAGATGGAAACTTATTTATGAGCTAAAGTGTTTACATTACAATGGTGTCTTTGACTATACTGTGTAGAAAACGTATTTGCAGAATAATTACTATCTATGTGTTGATGCGTTTTTATTGAGGGTCTATTGCGCAGTAGGCTAACAGGGCTTCAAACATGTTAAGGCCTTTCCTTAGGTAGGGAGGCAGTACTATATCCATGGCTTTACTCACAGTAATTCCACTGCAAAGATAATTCTTAAAAGATTTGCATGACATTCAGCTCTGATTCTGCAGCCAGCAGAGTCAGTCATACCTGGAGTATCTGTGAAATAATGAGTTAGTTTCCCACTGTGAGCCCTCCTTTATAATTCCAATTTCAGCTGGAAAGTCTTTGAAGAGATGATTGAACCATATCGTCTCCATGAAAGCTGCAAAGATTTAACAACTGCTGAGAAATTAAAGAGAGAAACCCCATGGAAAATTACAGATGCAGAACTGGAAGCAGTCAAGGAAAAGGTAAGGACTTGTCTTCCTTAATTTTTACTTTACTGTCTAACTAGCTGAAAAAGAAAACAGTGGTTGATTTAAAGATCAAGAAGTAACGATGTATCTGTTATAGAATTTCATTATTCCAGATCCAGGGTTTCTGCATTTTTCAAGTCCTTTTCAATCATATATTACTGGATATGAGGATTTAGAAACTGGTTTCCATTTCTTAATATAAAATCAGTGCTTTTCTTGAAAGATAAAAAAAAATATCAGATTATTGATATATATTGCAAAGTCTCCTTTCAGATTTAATTTTATAGACCAGGAGATAGATCCATCATTCTAAAATAACTTAAGTCAATATGTGTACCAAGTTAAAGGTAAGTGACTCACAATTTAACACAGTAACAAAAAATTTTAACCTGATGAGGTTATGAAAACTAACAAAGTAATCTGAGAAAATACATAATTGGAATAATGATTATCAAAGTTGGGTTGGGCACATTTTGTAGGATGGATATAATAAATTACATTAGGAGCTGAACTTGAAACAAATTAGAATGAGAGATACTAAAGCTTTTCAAATTTAGTGGAGAAAATACTGAACTAAGATTGATAAACTGTATAAAAAACTGGCCAGTTATTTGTTTGCTTGTTTATTAGGGGAAGTTGGGAAGATTTTTATTTTTATTATTTTTAGTTTCACTTTTTTTTTTTAAATTTTTAGAGAGGCAGAGAGAGAGAGAGAGAGTTGGGGGATGAGCAGAGGCAAAGGGAGAGGGAGAGAGAGAATCTTAAGCAGACTCCAGGCTCAGTACAGAACCCGATGCGGGGCTCAATCTCAGAACCCTAAGAACATGACCTGAGCCAAAATCAAGAGATGCTTAAGCATCTGAGTCACCCAGGCACCCCTAGTTTCACATTTTCATTTAAACTCCACTTAGTTAACATACAGTATAATCAGTTTCAGGTATAGAATTTAGTGACTCATTGCTTCCATAGAACACCCAGTGCTCATCACAAGTGCTCTCCTTGGGATCCCTGGGTGGCTCAGCAGTTTGACGCCTGCCTTTGGCCCAGGGCGCAATCCTGGAGTCCCAGGATCGAGTCCCATGTCAGGCTCCCGGCATGGAGCCTGCTTCTCCTTCCTCCTGTGTCTCTGCCTCTCTCTTTCTCTATGTCTATCATAAATAAATTAATTAATTTTTAAAAAAAGTGTTCTCCTTAATCTCCATCACCCATTTAGCCCATCCCCCACCCACTTCCCTCCAGCAACCCTGTTGATTCTCTAGTCAAGAGTTGGCTTTCTTTTCTCTCTCTCTCACTCTCTCTCTCTCTCTTTCATAAACTGCCCACTTCTAAAAAAGAGTTTTCACCTAATTGAGCAAATCATACATCTAAGCCTTGATTTCTGAACCAATGAAGTATAATGGTAAGTATTATTCTCATCCCTGCAAAATTGTCAATGTAGTTATTTTTCCAAGTGAGTCTTTGGCTGACATTTTAGTTGAAACCAGTCTGCTGTGCTGATAAAATATTCAAAGAGCCTATATAATGTAGACTAGGATATAATTTATGTGCTTAGGATATTAAATTGGTATCATGATTCTATTAGTTCTTCTACCTCTAATCTGTTCCCAGATCTGGCCATTCTCACCTTCTCTTTACTGTTAACCATGTTTTCTGCTCACTTGTTTTTTTTTTTTTTTCCTTAGACTTCAATAAGCCACTATAGCACAACAACCTGATCTTATTCTTTATATTTCCAAAATTTCTCAGGAGTTTTTTTTAAGGTTTATTTATTTATTCCTGAGAGACACAGAAAGAGACAGAGACATAGGGAGAGGGAGAAGCAGGCTCCCTGTGGGGAGCCCAATGCAGGATTTGATCCCAGGACCCTGGGATCACTACCTGAGCCAAAGGCAGGTGCTCAACCACTGAGCCACCCAGGTGCCCCTCCCAGGAGTTTTTAAAACACTACTAGTATCCAAATCTGAAAGAAATAATTGTAATTTTTTTGAAGTGAGTTTTTTTTTTTTTTACTTCTCCATAATTTAAGTAGATTCACATTCATAATTCTGGTGGAACTGCTCTCAACAAAATCTAAATGTTGTCCACAGAGCTACCGCCAAGTTCGACTGAATGAACTCTTACAGGAGCACTCAAGAGCTGCTAATCTCATTGTTCTGTAAGTATCACTGCAGACATTTAAGAATATTAGAGGGGAATCTTAGGTAAATGGGTTAATTGACTTAAAAAATAATGACTATTCAGGTGGAAAGTTTTAAAATTTTGGAACACGTGGGATTTTAGACAGTGAGAAAAAAAGTCACCCTGAGACCCTGCCACTTGGACTTTCTCTCTGGTGTGCCCCACATGTAGGGCCAAGGCATGTGCCCACATAGAATCTTGGCTCCCTTTTCAGCCCATGCTCCAGAAACCTGACCCTGGAACCTTCTGCCTAACAGGCCTCAAGTCAGCCACTGAGGCTCATGGGCTTCTTCCCTGTGTAGTGCTCCTGAGGTAGAGTCCACAGCATGTGGCTCCCTGCTATGTTGAAAGAGACCAAGGTAGGAAAAAAAGGCATAGGATTCTTCCTGTTTCCACTCTTGCCCTTCACTTCACAAATTTTAGAGGTGTACCTGTTGGAAATAGGAATGCTTACTTAAAGATTGACAACTAAACATGAAAAACAGCTATTTCACATTTTACCCCATGATATGATTCCTATGTATAAAGATTAATATGCCTTCCAGGTCTACAGCAGAGGACTATCCATCTAAGACCTAGAACAGTCTCCCGAATTGGGTAGCTGTTTTCTGAGGCTTCTGCCAAATACAAGAGCTTTAAAATATAGTGAAAATCATTTCCATCAAAAAAAGGAGAGATATTGGTTGATCAAATTTTCTATTTATAGAGGAGTAAAAATTTATGGTTATATTTTGTTGCTGCTCTACAATGCCTAAGACTATTTTTCTGGTTTATAGATATTTGTCTTATCTGAGAAATACATTGGTTTAATATCTATGTTCAGAATAATTTCAGTGCTTTCATGTTTGGGGGGAGGGTTACAAAAGTTTCAGACCATTGGTTATTAAATAGCTCAGATGACTAGTGATGTTACTGCCTATAGTAATTGTCACTTTTTAAATTTTTCTTCCATGCTGTCAGGAGCCTTCCAGTGGCAAGAAAAGGATCTATATCAGATTGGTTGTACATGGCTTGGTTGGAAATCCTCACAAAGAACCTCCCTCCTGTTTTACTAGTTAGAGGAAACCACAAAAATGTTCTGACATTTTACTCTTAATATGTGAAAGATTGGAACACATTTTAATGTACGAAAAATTAGGAAACATGTTCTGGTACTTTATGTTGTAAATCTGATCTATGGATTTACAAACCTCTGAGACATTCTTACAGGATTCCATAGAAACTGTCATTATTTTTTATTAGTTATTGGGGGCTATTTTTTTTCTATCAGCTTAAGAGGGTATCAAAGCTGATATCCTAGAAATGCTACCCCTAGGAAAACATCTTTATTGTTGCTGTTGATAAACAAGAAAATTAAGGAGACCATGCTGGCTTATCCTCATGAAAACCACCAACTTGATTGTAAGCATCTCCAGGCAAACCTAATCTTGTGTTCGCTGCTAGGCCTTGGTAGAGGCCTCAGCCCCACAGCAGGTCCTCATTAAATGCTTATTGACAGGCTAGTAGAGTAACTGTGGGTGGTTATCAAAGGAAAAGACAGACTGGGCAGGAACCTCGATTACATTTGGCCTTCTGAGAGGCTTATACCTACAAAGAAGATTTGAAAATCAATAACTGAAAACTTTAAGAAGTACTTGAGTCTACAACATGTTTAAAGCAGTTACCTAAATAAGGTTATTTAATGTAACACAGCGTATATACTTAGAGTGATCTGAGTGATTATTGATAACATATGGCTTCAATTTGCTGCTGACTGAAGAGTATGTCAGCTGGATCAGAAGACAACAATATTCAAATTAGATGAACTAGATTCCATTTTTAATATATAGACTTTGTTTTGCCTACTATTTTGAAATCTCCATCATAGTATTTCTTTGCATATTTGTTTCTAATTAAGTGGTTAGCACAGATGAGATCTTCTTAGATGTCTAATTGAAAACCTAATACCCAGATTTTCAAACCATTATAAAGAAATATATCCTGAATCATATACTTAGTTACTCTATATACTGATTGTATGGATTGAGAGGAATAATCTAATGTGAAGTGGAGAAACTTACAAAATTACAAAATTGTGTGTTGTAGACAACATACAAGAATTGATTTTTTTTATTTTTGTTAATATTCCTATAATAATCATACTGAAAAATCAACAATTTTTTTTTCTGATGAATGACTTGATTTTTTTTTTCTTAACACATTTGACTGCTTATTCTAACTGATAAAATACAAGGGAAACAATGAACCTGAAATAAAAGCATTGAAATTTGTATGCTTTGGCCCAGGTCACATTTTTGCTTTCAAGTTGATGAAGATCACCGTGCAACGGCATATCAGATGTAAGCATTAAAAATTCAATCAGTTGGGATCCCTGGGTGGCGCAGCGGTTTGGCGCCTGCCTTTGGCCCAGGGCGTGATCCTGGAGACCCGGGATCGAATCCCACGTCAGGCTCCCGGTGCATGGAGCCTGCTTCTCCCTCTGCCTGCTTCTCCCTCTGCCTGTGTCTCTGCCTCTCTCTCTGTCTCTCTGTGACTATAATAAATAAATAAAAATTAAAAAAAAAATTCAATCAGTTGCCTCGTCTCATGCTTGCCTAAAACCAGGAATTAAGATTTGGAATTCTAGGGGCACCTGGGTGGCTCAGTGGTTGAGTAACTGCCTTTGGCTCAGGGCGGAATCCCAGGGTCCTAAGATCAAGTCCCGCATCGGGCTCCCTGCGGGGAACCTGCTTCTCCCTCTGCCTTTGTCTCTGCTTCCCTCTCTGTGTCTCTCATGAATGAATAAAATCTTAAAAAAAAAAAAATCAAAATTCTAAGCCCCAACTCAGCTCAGGAGGATAATGAGGGAGGAAAAAGGAAACAGTCACCAAAACTTAAGTAGCAGGCTAGCCACTCTAAATCTGGGACATTTGCCTCACTCAGCCCCAGATTAAACCATCCCTCTTGAGCCCTATATCCCCAAAACCTAAAGACTAGACTAGGTATGATCCCAGTGACCAGGGGAAGGAGCATCCAGCTTCATCTGGACCTCACAATTTTCAGAAACACTTTTGGAAACACTTTCTCTGGGAAAGGTGAGAAGTCATAGGACTTCTGTAACAGGGAATTCTGGCTCTTACATGCTTGAGAAGCTGTTGCACGTGGGGTTCCCTGGGAAACAGACTCTCGAAGAACATTTAACATGGAGCATGTTTATTAAGGAGTGCCCTTGGGATCAACGCCTGTGGAAGGGAGGGCTGGGAAGGAGGCAGGAAAGGGGAAGGAAAGCGTGATGTGGGCCCGGGACAGCCTCAGCCACCTCCACAGGGAGCTCTGGAGACAAAGTTCATTCAGAGTTGTCCCAAGCCAGGCTGAGAGTGCCAAGCCTCTATACTCATGCATTGATCGGTCACTAGCAGGGTGAGGCAGTTCTTTGCTGCAGAAGCATCTCTGAGGGGCCAGACAGCTGAAGTGTGTCTGCTGATCGCACTCCCTGCCGCTGGGTAGTCCTTGAAACAGGGTCTGGTGGGACATCGCGATCCCACCACAGCAGTCCTATAAAGTAGTGGTCTAAAATAAAACAAAACACACCAAAAAAAAGCCCAAAAACTTGGACAGGCTTGAGTTCAAATTTTAGTCTTACCATTTATTAGTGGTTTGGCCTTAAACTAGTTATTTAATTTTCTGAGGGCTAAATGCAAGAGATGGACTGAAGTGTCCCTGGGCTCCAGGTTAATGAAACAAGGGTAGACAGCCTGAGAAAAAGGGGTGAATGGAGTAGGGACTGGCAGTTTTGGGGTCCAGGGTAGCTATACTGGGAATAGGTTAGGGTAGCATAAAATTAAACATATAGAGGCTGTGGTCAGACACCTGCAGATTCATGTAGCCCTTGGTGTCCTGCCCTTGTCCCTTGCTTCACTCAACTCAGTTAAGCCAACTACTCATCTCTGTGTCTACACTCAGCTTTCAGAGCAGGACAGAGAAAATTGCATAATCACATGCATTGATGTCAAATTTTCTCTGCCCTCTCACTTTGTTTACATTTCTCATCGGCATGCCCACTTCTTCCTCACAATGACTTCTCAAAATCTTCATCACTTTTTCAATTGATGACCATGCCGTCATCCCTACAACATATCCATGTGTGGTAGACATAAACCTTTCTTATCTAAATAGGACCATTCTGGGAGCATTGTCTTAATAAGTTCTTCTCTTAACACCCAATTCTAGAAATCTTTATTTGGAAGCTTAAAAAAAAAAAAGATTGTGGATTCTTGGGACCCATAGATCTGCTAAATTAGAATCTGGGAGACGAGTCAATGATCTGCAAGGTTTTGGAACCTGCTCGCAGCAGTCTCTCCTATTCCTGTGACCTGACTGCCACTATAGGCTGATGTCCCCCAAATTTATTTATTTTATTTTTAATTTTTTTTAATTTTTATTAATTCATGAGAGACAGAGAGAGAGAGGCAGAAACATAGGCAGAGGGAGAAGCAGGCTCTCTGCGGGGAGCCCCACAAGAGACTAGATCCTGGGATCACGGCCTCAGCTGAAGGGAGATGCTCAACTACTGAGCTACCCAGGTGTCCCTGTTCCCCAATTTGTATTTCTCACATCTCCCCGAAGTCTTCAATACAAGTATGGAATTAGTAATTTTCACAGTGTTTCTCTTTGTAAATCCTACAGATGCAGGAAGACCAGACTTCTGTTCAAAAAAAAAAAAAACAAAAACAAATACAACAACAAAAAAAAAAACAGCCAAAACACACAATTGAAGCAAAGGCTTTCTCCATTGTCTACAGCTCCTCACCCCCCAAATGACCAAAGTAACATAAAAATAGGAAAGATCTGTATCACAGTAGGAACTAAGGAAGGATGCCATCCTTATGATAACATTAAAAAAAATCAAGTTATAGTTTACTTGGGACAAGATTAAAGGAAACTATCAAAGGTCAGCTTGTAACCAATACTCCAGAGAAAAAAAATCACAAGAAGACCCTGAAAGATTTCCACCAACCCCTCCCCCAGTTTGCATCTGGAGATGAGAAACTAGAGATGGGACTGAGTACAGCAGTGAGTGGGATCTGTTTTGCTGAATACAAAGAATATTCAGAAAAGCCTACTCAGAGGGGCCACCCAAGTGCCCAGAACAGACGTGAATGCCTGTGAGAGCTACCAGAAAAATCTGTGCTTGCCATAGAGACTGAGCAAAAGACAAAATCAACTCTCAGTACACAACTTCTCCTAATACAAAGAAAAGTCACTGAGATGGACAATCTTGGCCCTTGGTCTCTGTTCTCAGGCTGCCAGGTTACTAAACAGGCACTGCAAGGTGCTATCAAGCAGACCTCTAGCTAAGATTAAATAGGAACACTGTCACAATAACTAGATGGTGTGGTAAAGGGCCCTGTGTCAAGCACCAGTCCCGCCACATCTACTTGTCATCAGTATGGTTTAAAAGACTCACTGGGTCCTTAAAAGCCCATGGGGATGCTTACTGGATATTGCCACCCAGGTCACCTAGATATTTATTTCTAAAGCTTTCCTCTGCAGAGATTTAGGGACACATGACATAAGGGTGAGATCTGTCCAGACTCCACAAGAGGAGAAAAGAAGTTTCTCTGGTGGTGTAACTCATTTTAGTGCTATTATATCCCAGCTGCTGACAGATCATGACACCCCCACCAGTTGCAGTAACAGCCAAGAAGTTAGATTCTTGCTCCAGCCCCAGCAGGTGGCCCAACTGCTCTTGCAGAGTCACCAGCTCCCCTACATCCTGTCAGCCTGGGTCAACAGGTGGAACCAACTCTCCACAGCAAGGTATGGCCAATCTTACTTATCTCTTTTAGGATTTCCGAGGTTGAAACAATGATCTCAGCCTTCCTTTATCATGCAGGAAAAATGTTTTCCAAAAAATTACAAGATTTCTTCTCACTTATGTCACCATCCTAAATACACCATTATTTGAGGTTCCACTAAGGGTGAAAAAATCTCTGCCATTTAAACTATGACATGGTATTTGATCACTTGACATTTTTGCTATACTAATTGAGATACCTTTTTAAGGCTTATGTAAGTGTAGAATTTTAAATCATATACCATTCTTAGGCATATAAAAAGAAGGGAAAAGAAGTAAAATATGGTTCCACTTCAGCGCCCCACTCTTCTATTCATATTTATACTCAGATTTGATGTCCCCATTTTTCCACATGACAGGATTCTGGTGCCACCAAGAGAGCTAACAATGCAGTTTCTTACAAGGGAAAACCAATAGACACTATTTTGTTATTGGCATTAATATTTTGGATAACTATAAGTCTAAGCGTGATTTTTTAAAAAATAACTTAAAGTTGTCTTCCAGTAGAAGGTAAGACATTGTATGTAAATTTTAATACATAAAGAGCACAAAAACTGGGGAAAAAAATCTACAGGAGTAGAGTCAGAAAAAAATTCTCATTAGAGAAGGGAAATCTTATCAGAGGATCATACAACAGAAGATCACACATACAACAAAGAAACAGAAACTATCTGTATTTAACTTTCTTAATGAAGACTCTCAAATTTAACAAAAAATAGTCAAACTCTAGCATCATATTCTAAATTATATCAAAAAGGCTAAAGACAAAAGAATAAACAAAAATACAGAAACAGCCAAACAAAAAGTAGAGTTGGCAGTATTATTAAAAGTTTAGGACTAAAAGAATTAGGAAGAAAAAGAGAGTATCGTTTTGTGTTTCCAAAAAACGTATAGCCACAAGATAGCTATAATAATAACTGAGTTTTATGTAAATAACTAGCATAATATTGACATAAATCACATAAGAATTGTTGGAAACAAAAAGAGTCACAGAGAGTCAATTTTCTTGGGAAACAGTTCATCTATATCACAACCTTGAAAGACCAAGGATAAGAGAATTCAAACTACATTTAAAAATTTAATTAGGATTTAATAGGGGGGTTTGGGGGCCCCAGTAGGTTAAGTGTCTGCCTTTGTCCAGGTCATGAACTCAGGGTCTTGGGATGGAGCCCAACATCAGGCTCCCTGCTCAGCGGAGAGTCTTCTTCTCTCCTGCTCCCCCTGCTTGTGCTTTCCATCTCTCTTTCTCTCCCTCTCTCTCTCTCTCTTTCAAATAAATTAATAAAATCTTTTTTTTTAAATGGATTTAGGGATGCCTAGGTATCTCAGCGGTTAAGCGTCTGCCTTTGGCTCAGGTCATGATCCTGGGGTCCTGGGATTGAGTCCCAGTCCCTGGAATTGGGCCTGCTTCTCCCTCTGCCTGTGCCTCTGTCTCTCTCTGTGTCTCTCATGCATAAATAAATAAAATCTTTAAATATGTATATATATAAATATAAAAATTAAAAATAGATTTAATGGGTACAGCAGTGCTTATGCACAGAGAATACATTGCCTTTTAGGAATCTATAGTATGTTTTTAAAAACAAATTATATATTAGATACCTCAGTAAATGCCAAATATGGAAATAGTAAATATTATTTTTATCAAAATCCAACTACCATTATTTACAGATATAAACAACATCATGTAAACAACATCAAA